CCGGTAGCGGCGAAAATCGCGCTATTTTTGGCCGGTAGCGGCGAAAATCGCGCTATTTTTGGCCGGTAGCGGCGAAAATCGCTTGGTTTTTGGCCGGTAGCTGCGAAAATCGCTTGGTTTTTGGCCGGTAGCGGCGAAAATCGCGCGGTTTTTGGCCGGTAGCGGCGAAAATCGCGCGGTTTTTGGCCGGTAGCGGCGAAAATCGCGCGGTTTTTGGCCGGTAGCGGCGAAAATCGCGCTATTTTTGGCCGGTAGCGGCGAAAATCGCGCTTTTTTTTGGCCGGTAGCGGCGAAAATCGCGCGGTTTTTGGCCGGTAGCGGCGAAAATCGCGCTATTTTTGGCCGGTAGCGGCGAAAATCGCGATTTTTCCCCGCCAGCTGCGAAAATCGCTTGGTTTTTGGCCGGTAGCGGCGAAAATCGCGCGGTTTTTGGCCGGTAGCGGCGAAAATCGCGCTATTTTTGGCCGGTAGCGGCGAAAATCGCGATTTTTTCCCGCCAGCTGCGAAAATCGCATGGTTTTTGGCCGGTAGCGGCGAAAATCAGCGGTTTTTGGCCGGCGAAAATCGCGCTATTTTTGGCCGGTAGCGGCGAAAATCGCGATTTTTTCCCGCCAGCTGCGAAAATCGCTTTTTTTGGCCGGTAGCGGCGAAAATCGCGCGGTTTTTGGCCGGTAGCGGCGAAAATCGCGCTATTTTTGGCCGGTAGCGGCGAAAATCGCGATTTTTCCCCGCCAGCTGCGAAAATCGCTTGGTTTTTGGCCGGTAGCGGCGAAAATCGCGCGGTTTTTGGCCGGTAGCGGCGAAAATCGCGCTATTTTTGGCCGGTAGCGGCGAAAATCGCGATTTTTCCCCGCCAGCTGCGAAAATCGCTTGGTTTTTGGCCGGTAGCGGCGAAAATCGCGCGGTTTTTGGCCGGTAGCGGCGAAAATCGCGCTATTTTTGGCCGGTAGCGGCGAAAATCGCGATTTTTTCCCCGCCAGCTGCGAAAATCGCTTGGTTTTTGGCCGGTAGCGGCGAAAATCGCGCGGTTTTTGGCCGGTAGCGGCGAAAATCGCGCTATTTTTGGCCGGTAGCGGCGAAAATCGCGATTTTTTTTCCCCGCCAGCTGCGAAAATCGCTTGGTTTTGGTTTTTGGCCGGTAGCGTCGAAAATCGCGCGGTTTTTGGCCGGTAGCGGCGAAAATCGCGCTATTTTTGGCCGGTAGCGGCGAAAATCGCGATTTTTTCCCGCCAGCTGCGAAAATCGCTTGGTTTTTGGCCGGTAGCGGCGAAAATCGCGCGGTTTTTGGCCGGTAGCGGCGAAAATCGCGCTATTTTTGGCCGGTAGCGGCGAAAATCGCGATTTTTCCCCGCCAGCTGCGAAAATCGCTTGGTTTTTGGCCCGTAGCGGCGAAAATCGCGCGGTTTTTGGCCGGTAGCGGCGAAAATCGCGCTATTTTTGGCCGGTAGCGGCGAAAATCGCGATTTTTCCCCGCCAGCTGCGAAAATCGCTTGGTTTTTTTTTGGCCGGTAGCGGCGAAAATCGCGCGGTTTTTGGCCGGTAGCGGCGAAAAATCCCGCCAGCTGCGAAAATCGCTTGGTTTTTGGCCGGTAGCGGCGAAAATCGCGCTTTTTGGCCGGTAGCGGCGAAAATCGCGATTTTTGGCCGGTAGCGGCGAAAATTTTTTCCCGCCAGCTGCGAAAATCGCTTGGTTTTTGGCCGGTAGCGGCGAAAATCGCGCGGTTTTTGGCCGGTAGCGGCGAAAATCGCGCTATTTTTGGCCGGTAGCGGCGAAAATCGCGATTTTTCCCCGCCAGCTGCGAAAATCGCTTGGTTTTTGGCCGGTAGCGGCGAAAATCGCGCGGTTTTTGGCCGGTAGCGGCGAAAATCGCGCTATTTTTGGCCGGTAGCGGCGAAAATCGCGATTTTTCCCCGCCAGCTGCGAAAATCGCTTGGTTTTTGGCCAGTAGCGGCGAAAATCGCGCGGTTTTTGGCCGGTAGCGGCGAAAATCGCGCTATTTTTGGCCGGTAGCGGCGAAAATCGCGATTTTTTCCCGCCAGCTGCGAAAATCGCTTGGTTTTTGGCCGGTAGCGGCGAAAATCGCGCGGTTTTTGGCCGGTAGCGGCGAAAATCGCGCTATTTTTGGCCGGTAGCGGCGAAAATCGCGATTTTTCCCCGCCAGCTGCGAAAATCGCTTGGTTTTTGGCCGGTAGCGGCGAAAATCGCGCGGTTTTTGGCCGGTAGCGGCGAAAATCGCGCTATTTTTGGCCGGTAGCGGCGAAATTCGCGATTTTTCCCCGCCAGCTGCGAAAATCGCTTGGTTTTTGGCCAGTAGCGGCGAAAATCGCGCGGTTTTTGGCCGGTAGCGGCGAAAATCGCGCTATTTTTGGCCGGTAGCGGCGAAAATCGCGATTTTTTCCCGCCAGCTGCGAAAAATGGTTTTTGACCGGTAGCGGCGAAAATGGTTTTTGGCCGGTAGCGGCGAAAATTGAGCTGTTTTTGGCCGGTAGCGGCGAAAATCGCGCGGTTTTTGGCCGGTAGCGGCGAAAATCGCGCTATTTTTGGCCGGTAGCGGCGAAAATCGCGATTTTTCCCCGCCAGCTGCGAAAATCGCTTGGTTTTTGGCCAGTAGCGGCGAAAATCGCGCGGTTTTTGGCCGGTAGCGGCGAAAATCGCGCTATTTTTGGCCGGTAGCGGCGAAAATCGCGATTTTTTCCCGCCAGCTGCGAAAATCGCATGGTTTTTGGCCGGTAGCGGCGAAAATCGCGCTGTTTTTGGCCGGTAGCGGCGAAAATCGCGCTATTTTTGGCCGGTAGCGGCGAAAATCGCGATTTTTTTCCCCGCCAGCTGCGAAAATCGCTTGGTTTTTGGCCAGTAGCGGCGAAAATCGCGCGGTTTTTGGCCGGTAGCGGCGAAAATCGCGCTATTTTTGGCCGGTAGCGGCGAAAATCGCGATTTTTTCCCGCCAGCTGCGAAAATCGCTTGGTTTTTGGCCGGTAGCGGCGAAAATCGCGCGGTTTTTGGCCGGTAGCGGCGAAAATCGCGCTATTTTTGGCCGGTAGCGGCGAAAATCGCGATTTTTTCCCGCCAGCTGCGAAAATCGCTTGGTTTTTGGCCGGTAGCGGCGAAAATCGCGCGAAGGACAAACGGATAAAGGATGGTGGCGAAGAGGAACAGGAACTACAGGAGGGGCAAAAGTCAAAGCACGATAGAGGCGAGAGTGAGGATGCTGTAAGGATCGCGCAAGAAAGCGATCACGACGGTCCTGGAGAGACAGGAACCCAGTGTCAACGCACAAGCTGAGGGTAGGAGTTGAACGAAAAGCACCAGAGCTGAGGCGCAACCCAGTATGGTGCAAAGGATCAATATGGCAAAGAGTAAGAGGAGCAGCAGGGAAACCATAATCGAGTTTAGACAGGACGAGAGAGGAATGCAAATAGTGCGCACGCCTATCCGCTCCCAAGAAGTACGTATGGGACAAAACCCATTAGGTTTAGTAGGTTAAGGTTAGGTTAGTAGGTTAAGGGCCTTGGAGCATTCAACACGGAGGTAAGAGATGGGGCGACCAAAACAAACGAGTGTCAAAGAATGACCCCAAAAGCTTCGCGGAATCTTTGTACTCAAGGGGATGACCATAAAGTGACAGAGGGATAAAGAACGACCCCTTCCAAATAAAAGTCATGGCACAAATCTTAGTAGTAGAGAACTTGAAGCCATGATTGGTGGCCCAAGATGACACGGCATCAATCGCAAGTTGAAGCCGCCGTTGAAGGAGAGGCGAATCATCACCTCGACAGCAAAGATCGTCAACATAAAGAGCGGAGAAGATGCCAGAAGGACGGGAGGAAAGGAGACCATTGAGGGCAACCAGAAAAAGAGTAGTGCTCAGAACACTACATTGGGGTACACCTTCATACTGCCGAAAAGAGGCAGAGAATGGTACCAAGCCCGACGCGAAAGGTACGACTAGAGAGAAAGCTTTGAAGGAAGAGAAGGAGATTACCACAAAGGCCAAAAGAAAGTTGGGACAGAATATGGTATCTCCAAGTAGTGTCATAAGCCTTTTCCAGGTCAAAAAGGACAGCAACAATGGAAGTCTTCGCAGCAAAAGCAGTACAAGTAGACCTCCAGGTTCACCAGGACATCAGTCGTGCTGCGGCACTTGCGAAAATCAAATTGAGAACGATAGTGGTGGTGATTGTATTCAAACAACCACATCATGCGGACATTTACCATACGCTCAAAGAGCTTGCAGACAACTCCTGAGAGCAATAGGGCGAAAGTCCTTAGGAGACGTACCGAGAGATCTTTGTTTCCGAATAGGGAGTACAACAGCATCGAGCCAATTCTCAGGGACGGACGACGACTTCCAGACCTGGTTATACAGACTCAGTAAATATTTGAGACATGCACGGAGGGAGATGGCGAAGCATCTCATGAACGTCATCCAAGCCCACTGCCATAGATCGCAGAGGGCCAGGGCAAACTGAAGTTCAGAAAGAGAAAGGATCGTTATAGGGAAGGTGGAGACGAGTGGAAATCTAAAGCATAAGATTCAAGAACAGGCTTACGAAGAAAGAAGGATTGAGGAAGATGAGAACCAGAGCTAACAGTAGAAAAGTGGGAACCCAGTTCGGTCACGAGTTCGTACCGGGAGACAGACTCAATGGTCTCAGCAGAAGAGGAACGGGAGCGAACACGAAGGTTGCTGGGAGGATGTCCACAGGAGGTATCAATGTAAATCCATATGAACCACAAGTTGCAGTGCAGGATGGAAACCTCCAGAAAAACTGTAAATATGAGTCACCTAACAGGACCCAGAAACGAACCTGAGGGGAAAGAACAGTCTAGTGCATTTCCGTTATTTTTTTCCCTTTTGTACAATCTGCGTTGTATTTCTAGAGTGGTCCTCTTTCTGACCCTCACAGGCACGTGCTTCAAGCAGACTTTGTATGCTTCAGCTATCAGTTGAGCTATTCCCTGTGTGGGAGTTTTGTCGCTTAAGACCATCTCCCATTGAATGTTTGCAAGGTCTACATTTATTTTATCCCACACGATCCTCTTATTGTTGAAAATGAATTGATTGAATACCCCTTCTCGCTTCTTGGGTCTCTTAGAACGCACTTCAATGAGCTTATGGTCTGAGTATGTAGTATCCGAGATTGTAATGTTCACAATGATGAACTAATCAGAAAAGTCTAGTGTTTCATTCCTAGTTGGTTCTGTAATCTGTTGATTGAGCGAGATTTTGTCACAGAATACGAGTATCTTAAAACTTTGTTGTACACATATTGGATCATTCTTGTGCTCTATCCAGATTTTGCAACTGCTCGGCTGTAGTGATTAACGTTGTTACACATGGATTCAGGCGCCAATATAACCACCCTGCAAGATATACATGAAGGATTAATTACATATACATCAAGAGAGATTTTGAGTACCTGCATAAGGGTAACAGTATATCCTGAGTACATTTCATTGAAGAATCTAATGAGTTTTAAATGCTTATTGCAAAGAAAACCTAAAGCATCTATGCTTATCTAAATTTAACTATTACCAACAAATAAATATTAATCAATTCTGGCTTGTCAAGTTATTCAAGTGCAAAGACATTTTAAAACAATAAATTGCTCGTAATGCATATCTAAATTCTCAAATATGATGTAGAAAAAACAAGTAGCCAATACTGTCAATTTTCAAATTCTTTACCTAAACTGTACTGTAATTGTGAGAAGGCTGATGAAACCATCTGGCAATCGGTAACCCTCATTTCTTCAGCTAACTCCGTACTGCATCTAGAATGAAATAATATTCCATTAATATCAGATTTCAAATCAGTTATCAATTAGCTTTCCAATACAAACAATTTATCTGTACAAATGGTTAATGTGTATGTACTTAGCCTTAAAAAAAACAAGTCACTGATTTAGTCACATTGCTGAACAAAAAAATTAATGGTTTATTAGCAATAGTTGAGCACACTTGCAATCAAGAATTTTATATCTTATTGGTTTGGATTTGTTCTTATTGCGAGTTTGTTAATATCAAAATGGTCACAAACGCTCAAAAAAATTTGACCAAAACCACACTAGAAATTGGAGACGATAATAGTCCAGGGCGGACAAACGTCGTCAAGTTGATTGTGCTGAAACAAAGGAGGCAAAGGCAATAAATAGGTAAGAGTAAAATCTTGAAGGAAGGAAGACAAGAGCAAGGCAAAAGGTACAGGTGTAATAGGAATAAGAAAATATTTTTTTCTTAAAGATTGTAAGAGAAAACGAGAGATGAAAGAAAGGGTAGGCCTATGTTAGGTCACGTTTGTTAGAACTTCAAACATTTGAGTATACACAGAGGGAAAAAGGTCAACAAACAACCAGCAAGAATCCGAGTCCTGGCTATCTGAGCTGATTCGAGGAGACTGTAGAAGCAAGAAGGATAATTTAAGGAACACCAATCAATAACATCAGAATCCCTAACATGACTGCTGACACAAAATGTCCTTCTGTCATGTTAGGGATTCTAATCATCCTATTGGTCTTAAATTATCCTTCTTGCTTCTACACGTGAATTTAGAGAATTCTATAACCAATGTTCCAGCGATGTGTCAATATTTCATTCAAAATGATCTGCTACCAGAAATTTTAGCCAAATATCCCCCAGTTTGCTAACTGTAGGTAGTAAGTGATTGTAACCTATCCACCGCTGCCCACTGGATGGGGGGCGGTGTGCAGGACAAACATATCAATTGTGACACTAGCTCTCCACATATGTCAGTTGCTTAATTTAGAAACTGTACTTGTAGTCGATCTCTAACCCATTGTTGATGTGATGACATTGAATTTTGTAACTAGCTCAAGATTGTAACTTGCTTAGCTAAATGAATTGTGGGGTTCAGTCCCTGAGCCCATTATGTGCCTCTGTAACCCTTTCCACTACCACCCACAAGATGGGTATGGGGTGCATAATAAATGAACTAAACTAACTAACTTCTACACAGACGCCGTCTCCTCGAATCGGCTCAGATAGCCAGGACTCCGGTTCTTGTTGGTTGTTTGTTGACCTTTAACCTCTGTATACTCAAATGTTTTAGACTTTCTAACAAACGTGACCCAACATAGGCCTTCCCTTCCTTTTATCTTACGATTTTAAGAAAAATATTCTTATTCCTATTACACCTTCTGTACCTTTTGCCTTGCTCTTCTCTTCCTCTATGATTTTACTCTCTTACCTATTTACTGCCCTTGCCTCCTTCGCTTAATCACAATCTACTCTATAATAGTCCAGGGGCCAGATTCACGAAAGCACTTACGAACCTGTATATCTTTTCTCAATCTTTGGCGGTTTTGTTTCCAATTATTAAACAGTTAATGAGCTCCGAAGCACCAGGAGGCTGTTTATAACAGTTGATTGGGAAGTTTTCATGCTTGTAAACTGTTTAATAAATGTAACCAAAGCCGTCAAAGATTGAGGAAAGATGAACACGTTCTTAAGTACTTGCGTAAGTGCTTTCGTGACTCTGGCCCCAGGACGGACAGAAATGTAGTCGTCTCTTCAGTTTGTAGTGTGTGTGTTTTGAGCATTTTTCAGCCACGATATTGTGACTTAACCTGCACTTAAAAAAATTACTCACAAACACAGTAAACTCCACCCATACCAGGAACGGTCAAGGAACATTTAGTATACTACACACAAAACATAGCTGTGCTTACCTTCAGTGAATCTGGTCAACGTTCTCCAACACCTTGTGTGCTCTAAACCACAGTAATAATGATAAAAACGTAAAAAATAAAAATACATCGCCGGCCGACGAGACACAGGACCTCCTCCCCGGCCGACGGTCGCCGGTAGACTGAGCCCCTCTGGGTCTCACCTCACTCCTCGCTCGCCAGATCTGAATTGCTGGAAGCTATTTAAACTAGCTAGTTGGGTGGTTAAATGGCGATTATTGCTCTCCAGAGGGGATTTATCTTCACCAAACTCTTTATTAACTTCATCAACGTTGATTACTTTCGTTTTTTTGCCCGAAATGCTATGCGTACTAGTGGCTTTAGTTATTGTATGTACTACCTCTTATCTTTAAATCTAACAGAATGATTGTCCTGTAACGCTGCAACTATGTTTGCAACTATGTACTGTTCCTAAACAAATTATTATTATTGTTTTTAAATTGTATAATTCAGCTGGAAAATATAGTCAGGGCAAACGCGGGGGACTTTTTGACAAGCCGCCGGCTTCCTATCTTCGTCGAGGTCATTAGTGTTAATGGCCCCTCAAGTAAATTCAGATAAATAAAGGCTCAGGTGTGGTATTCAAGGTTGTATATCAGCTGTATAAAAGTGGATCAGTATTTTATGGTGGTGCCAGTAAGGGCTTCCAGGATTGGGTCGTTTGGTTTACAGGTTTACCAAGTAAGAAGTGAAGAGTCTAAGTACACGCTAAGGTAGTTATGTACCTGTACGTGGTAGATGGGTTTGTTCTTTATCGTTGAAGAATCTATTTTTTTGCTTTTAATCTGTAAACAGGTTTTGTTTGTGCTAACAAACCCCATTGTTTTATCCAATTAGTGAGGAGGTCAAGTCACCAGTGCTGTTTGCAGTGCTGCTATGGTCTGTCTAATTACCCAAAACCTCCTACCATTACGTAAGTAATGAAGAAATATAACATATCTGCTTGCTATAATGTTGGTCCTACGTGTAGAACAGGGAAAAAACATATTTTTACTGTGAGGTAATATAATTGTAAATCAAAATTAGGTGAAACTATATGTGGCAAGTAACGCAATAGGAAGTTGAAAATCCAGGCAACAATGTTGTGGAGCGACTTGTCCAAGATATATTAATTAATGATTAATGAAGATTAACCCACCCAAAAGGTGGCACGGACATGAATAGCCCGTAAGTGGTGGCCCTTTGGAGCCATTACCAGTATCAATAGATGATACTGGAGATCTGTGGAGGTGCGACTGCACCCAGCGTGACGGGTGATGTCTCCCGTCCCAAGATATATTGTTGCCTGGAGGTTATATTAGGTTAGGTTAGGCTAGGTAAGGTACAGAATTGGCTGATATGCCAACAAACACACTCCAGGCAACAACATATCTTGGATAAGTCACTCCATAAGTGTCCCTTGGATCGTCGACTTCCTCTGGCATCACCTACCACTTGGTTTCGTATAACTTTGTATTAAAATTATATCATTTTAGAGTGAAAATATGTTTTGTTCATGTTCTACATTCAGCACCAACATTATAGTGTATAAATATGTCATATTATTTTATTACTTACGTAATGCTTGGAGACTTCGGGTAATTAAATGGATACGTGCAGGCCGGTGCACGGGGAGCACGTGCGGGCTGGTGCATGCAGAGCATTGATGGTTCTGATGATTTCATGACCTTGATACAGTAGGTCATATTGAACTGCACAATTCTTTCATACGTGGTGCGGATTTTCAACTCCCTTGTGTTAATGATTTAAATGTCCATGTGGGGGACACAAAGAACTATACTCAGGGCATTTTTTTTGTTGTTTCTAATGTTTTCAGCCTAGTGAAGAAAAAATTCATGGTGTAGGGTGTGTGGCAATTTTATATATAATAAACATCATATAGAACATTCTGGCTTATGTGACATTGATATAAATGTGCTTATTGGTTACCACTATGAGTTTTTCCTTGTAGTCTTCATTTGAGCCTAAGATTTCACTATTAATACCCATGCTGATGTAAATTTTTTGAAAGGGTCAAAATCTAAGAAGTAGGGATCTCGCTTTTCCCCAGATACAAGTTTCATGTGCTGCCTTCCGTCCAAAACATGTACAGTATCTGCAGTAAAGCTTGTGCAGTTATCTATACTCTAAAAGTGCTTTAATGGCTCTGGAATGTTATTAACCTTGTATCCCACAGTAATAAAAATCCAACATGGGTTATATCTCGTCTTTATTATGTACTAGAAACCAGAGCTTTACAAGACGTCCAGTCATATTGGTGTTGCCTCAGATGCCCTAATGGATGCTACACCTAAAGATATCATATGAATCCATTCCACCTCCCACCTGGAGTACAAGGGAAAAGTATGGGGCTGGGAAGAGAGAGGGGTCCACAAGTGTGTGATGGTATACTAGAGCTGAAGGTGGAAAGGAGGACACCCTAAGTATATGATGGAGTATCAGGGCTGTGGAGAGAGAGTAAGACATGAGTATATGATTGAGTAATGGGGCTAAGGAGACAGGGGGGCTCCAGAATGTATGATAGAGTATTGGGGCCTGGAGGAGTTATGCTTGTGTTCTGTCTACTTGCAATACATATTATCAGTATACTATATATCAGTGTATATGAAAAAATCAGTAGGAGCCATGAGGAGGATTCGAACCCACACATTTGGTGTTCCCAAACACACCTGCCTTGCGGCTGGCTACCTTGTGGTGATTCTGAGGATCGACGTCAGCGCAGCCCGATCTCTGACCAGGCCTCCCCGTTGGTGGTCTGATCAACTTGGCTGTTGGCCGTGGCTGCTCACAGCCTGACAAATGAATCATAGCCTGATTGATCAGGCATTCTTTGGAGGTGTTTATCGAGTTCTCTCTCTCTGAACACCATGAGAAGCTGGCTAGTTATGCCCCTTATGTGTGGAAGAAGAGTGATGAAACGTCTTGGATCTTTGATGTTGAGAGAGTTCTGTCAACAGATGATTCCTCCTTATGACTACAACTGGTTTTCTCACTGATATATCATACACACACACATACACACACACACACACACATGGAATGCATTAGGAAGTGATGTGGTGGAGGCTGACTTAATACACAGTTTCAAGTGTAGATATAATAGAGCCCAATAGGCTCAGGAACCTGCACACCTGTTGATTGACAGTTGAGAGGCAGGACCAAAGAAATAAATAGATTAAAGGGTGAATAAAAACACACATTATCCTATGTAATAATGTATTTTGCTCACACCTGGGTATCAACATTGATAAAGTTTGTGTAAGCGCCTGCAATGCAAATAGACAGGCACTTAAATACATGACTTGCCAGAAGAGTTGTACATACATGTATGTGTAACTTAAATACAAAAATACACAAAATTCACCCATAAAGTATTACATCTCAAGAGGCATTTCAAAAGAAGTTAATAATATAATGCAAAAGACCATTCAAGTTGTAAATAAATACCATGAAACTATATGGTAGTTTCTTTGGTCTTTTACACTGACTGGACATGAACAATAATAAACAAAATTACAAAACTCTACCATTAGATGGGCTAATGTGACCATTACATATGGTCATTGCTGTAACAATATTCCCTCAAATTAATAACTACCAGTGGAATGTATAAGTATGGCATTATCTAAACTTCTGCAAGAACCTTTTAACTATGAAATCAGGAAAATAATATCTACCAATATATATATTTATCCTTACTTTATACAGTTTGGTTAAAGACTTAAAATGAAAAAGCTCTATGAGGTTCTGCAATGTTTATTTACATTATCTGATACGTTATAATTGCCCCATTATAAACCGGCAGTCCTATGAGATAAGTCACAATAATGGGTGATCATGCTGATGCTGGTAACTATGACAACTGTCGTAACATAACCAGCAACAATAATCCATAATGAGATTCTACATGCAATTGAACAAGAACATTTTTATAACAACAATGTACTAATTATCAATATGTTTGTACAATATGGCAGCAATCAGGAAAAATTTGTTCATGTAGCTATATTTAATAAGCCAATAAAACTAATATGTACCATAATATTAAAATAAAGAAGAAAGACCTTTTAAGGTGCATTCAGTTTATTAATAAAAACCACCATCAGATTTCTGAGAATTGCCTTCAACATGCAGTAACATTTGTTACTTTGTATGTTATGAGTAAGAGAGAGACTATAAATTACGATTTGTATGGACAAATGGGTCAAAGTTGCTGGTGTAGCTACCAGTACTGTACTCTTGCGTGACCGTGCTGTGTGGACTACTCCTACAGTGACCCAGCTTACACAATCACCGAGTTTCTTTTAAGGTCGTCTCAACGCACCACAATATCATTATTTTGTTTAGTATCATACTAAGCTTTGTTCTTTATTATAGTGTTTTTGCAGTGTTCACTAAACAAAAAACAAATAACATATGACCAGGGATCAACTAGGATGCAACAGTGATCCGTTGAGACACTTCCTTGACTATACCATAGAAACCTACCTGATGTATCATATGACTTTCATGGGTCAGTTTAGGAGGCTCCAGTAAATGACCAGAGTACTGTAAAACCCTATCAATACAGTGGTTCTGATTTACACCCGCGACTTGTTATTTACGTTTTATTTTGCAATGGGCACAAGGAGATATAATATTACTGTATATGCTATAGATGGGAGCTACAAGCAAAAACAAACATCAGATAGGGAAAATTCACATCCCTTATCTGTGCCATCTAGTTTCTATAGTGTTTTTTAACAGCCATTCTTGTACACCCAGGTATTCTCTCTTAGGTATTACAAGATGTCTAGGATCCTTGTGCTCATTGATGTTAATCCCTTATATGTAGAGTTTCTCCAGTCAAGCTCCACTCATAAGTACATTATGTTAACGACTAGTTACTTGCCTATATGCGGTAACAAGAGGACATTCACTCACATTCAACAAGATCAGAAGTAGCCTACATGAGTTCAGCTCAAGAGTTACAGTCAGTGTTAGAACAAAGCTGAGAGAATCTGGGATGGAAAGTTTTGACCCAGAGACATGATTAAAATAATAGTAAAACACTGCTTATAGTGAGATTAAAAAGATCTCTAGATTTGCAAAACATATTTAGCAAATTGTTATGGCAGCTATATTTTAAACACTGACTTACCAATTTGTGTTTCAGCCGAAGAACAAACACAACTATTTTCAGCACTTTTCAGCATGTACATCAAAGTTTTGTTAAATAGATATATTGACATTATAAAATAATTATTGACAATACTGTACTGTGAAAGGAAAAAAATATTATGTTTGATATGCTTAGACCTAAAGTGGTTAAGTCAACATATAACATACAGCTCTTTCCCATGACAGGAATTGTAGAAGCAGAGAAAGAGACACAGTTGCACTAGGCCACAGAAAACATTCACAATGTACATCAATGTGTTAGTGGTTAGCAAAACTTCTATGCAAGCAGAGGCACAACTTGATCCCCTGCTGATGATCTCCTTTCCGGGAACACTGTGAAGCTTAGGCTGCAGTCATAAGGAAAGAATTCCCAAAGAATTCTTGGGTTATGCCCACTTAGAGGTTGCTATTGAAGTTGACATGCCAAAACGAGAGCATAGGAGTATGTTCTTATGATATTCTTACATTTACAAACTCAGTATTAGTGAGTACGTGCAAAAGATTTGTGACACAAGTTAGTCTACACACATCCAGCCATTCTGGGCCCTGCTGAGCGTGCGTACACCATATCACACGCATACACCAAACCATACACTCTCATTACTTGGGCTTGGAGTTACCCCTTTGTAATGGACTCTATGCTATTTCCATGTTCTACTGTTGTACAGTATCTATCTTTTTCAGTCACATCTACTATATATATCACTTATGAAACATTGGATGTCAATCTGCAGGTAAGTGAAGGGTGTTTAAACAGGAACTCAAGAGGTTAGAAGGATGATGGAAGTACTGTACCAGCACAGGGATTAGACATATGGGTCCAGTGAAAAAGGAGAAATATAGGTGGCATACAGGATCTACTTGGCCCATAACACTGTGGAGGGACACTTTCATAGCTTAGGAAAGATGGTCTTTATCACTCTCCAAACCCTCTTAACTTTGTAAGTAATAAGGCTGAGAGAAGCGAATGCAGAACCTGCTATTTTCATTAATGTCATCAAGATGGATAATGCCAGCTCTCCATGCTTATCATCACAGTGGCCACATTAAACATTAGGCTGTTTACCAAGTAGATTAAATGGCACTTCATTCCTGAAGGAGACAACTGCAGTTCTCATTCATTCCGCAGTGTACCTCCCAAGTTGTCCAAGCTGCCATCCTGATCCTCTAAATCAGCCTCTTGAAGAATTTCTTCCTCCAAATCAATTTCTTCCTCCAAATCAATTCCCTCTTCCAAATCAATTCCCTCTTCCAAATCAATTCCATCCTCCAAATCAATTCCTACTTCTATGTCAATTTCCTCTTCATGTGATGGGAATAGATCAGGAGGAAGTTGGAGGCGTAGGAGGGCATCCATAGGGGACATGGGTGTGGCAGGTGTGGGAGGTGTCTGCATCATAAGAGCTGGGGTAGTTGGGGAGCGATGGAGATTATATGAATGGGGAGAGTCACATGTGGGAGAGACCAGTGCCTGCACCTGTCGTGAGGAAAAGGGACACCCTGACATGGTTGGGGAAGGGGTGCCTCCTCCAGGACTGGTCAGGTGGCGGTGTGGGATGACCTCACGCTCTGCAGGTTGGGCCCAGAAGTCCTGAGAGGTTAGTTACCGTTAGTAATGGGTTAGTGAATGGAGGGAGTAAGTGAAGTAGTTAATCTTAAAACATGTTACCTTTGCCAAGTATGCAATGTGATGAATTGGGGTATCAATACAAGCTACAAAACAAAATTTGGCATACTAAAAAAAACAGTATTGTATACAAGAAAAACAATCGGTGGGTAGATAGTCTCACGTACATATGAATATGGGCACAACAAGCAACAAAACTATAGCACAGCACATGATTTCAGGGTAAAACATATTAAAGGAAAAAATGGAAGGGAAGAAAATGAAAAGGATTAAAGATCATAGCAGATCAATGACAAAGGACGGCAGATATATAAATGAAGAACATACAGTATGGGAGATGAAAGAAAAGCAACTACTGTATGTGGTGAAGAAGGTAGGCAGATGTGGGAAGGAAAAATAAAGACATGAAGAGATGAAAATAAAATTATAGAAATGTTTAATTGTTTATGTATGTGAAGGAACAAAACATACATGTGTGAGCTGGAATGAATTTTTAATTTAATTATGATGTGTCATGTATGTGTCTGCAAATACAAGTAAGTGTATTCACTAAAAATTATATGTAAGTGTATACATTAACTCATAAATGTTATTTTCCATTTCTGGCTGGGCCTTTTCAGTAGCTTCCCAACCTAAGCACTGGTCAAGCCCTGTCATAAAACGATGCACCAGGCCTCTGAGTCTTGCCTGAACTAATTTTAACCAGGATTAGAATTTGTCTCTCCTCAAGGCAAAGTGAGCTTGAGAACAAATAATTGTTCCAACAGTGAGCAAAAAACAAAGACCAGAAAACATAAGAGCAACAAGGCAAACAACTGCTTGGAGGCAAACAACTGCTTGGAGAAAAATTAGGTACCTGTAGGTACCAAATTTTTAAAATAGGTACCTATTGCATTACAACACACTGTAATGCAATTTTTACTCCTGAGCAGCAAGTGTTATATTCCGAATGCTTATGCCTCCAAAGTACAGGACAGAAAATGGCTATTATTTCCCCTCAAACTTTGCTTTGACTTTTGCCAAAGACAGCTTAGGGAAGACGTCTTGAAGGTACTTGAAGGCTGCCCTCATCTGGTGTCTGTGGTCAGTTGGGTTCTTAGCTTCCACCCTTGGATGCAAGCTTAGGACCCACAGGCAATGTTGTGCCTGGGCTTACAAGTAGCAGTTTTAGGGGTTACCCCCTTCAAAGGATTTGATGGAAGCTGTGGAGCCCAGTTTCCCTTCCTGCACCCCTGTTGTATCCTTGTGATGTGCATAATGGCTCTCCTTCTCAGGGTTTCTTGGACTTCCATGGTTGACTTTCTATCTATTCCTTCTTGCATGTCCCAGGGTTCTAATAGAACTGTAGACTCTGCCCTGGTGCCTAAGGACCTAGGAATTAGGGTCCACTAGTTACTGAAAGTTGCACTAGAAGTGAGTGCTGCAATAAAAGCCAACCAAACCTTGGCAAATAGTCAAATGGTCCTTTGACTTCAAGGGAAAAAAATGTCTATTCAACTGTACAAGTCTCTGGTTTACCTCCATCTGGACTACTGCATCCAGTTATGGAGACATCACCTTTGAAAGCATATACTGTATCTACTTTCGAGAAAGTTCAACGTATTGACAAAAATCATCACAGAACTCACATACCAGGAAAGGTTGATGGCCATAGGACTAACAACACTGCAAATCAGACATGACATGACATGGCTGATCTTATAGACCCTTAAAATACAGTACTAAACAAGTTGGAGGATATTAATCTAGACCACTTCTTTAAAAGGTCTAATGTAATACTGTACTGTATATACAAGGATAAGAGCTTCGAGATTAATCAGCCACAATGTAGGACAGAAAACAGGAGATGCTTTTTCACCCATAGGGTTATTAAACCATGGAATCTCCTACCTGCCAATGCCATAAATGTCTATACATTACTTCAGGACAAAATCCAGATGGAAAAAAAATCCTCAAGAACAATAAGGGAGACCTTCGACAAGCCATCAGCTTCCTGTCCTCTGTTGAGGCCACTAGAGACAGACAGTGGCCCTCAAGTAAATTCAGACAAAACCTTCTTCTGTAGTGGGAGAGGTTCTTAGGGTTTAGGCTTACTTAAGGAAATTCCTTTGCTGCCTTTTGACCCTTTTTAGATTTTAGTTCTTGACCCTGAGTGTTTACTGTTTAGAGAAGATGAGTTTTCTTATCATATATTTCTAAACTGTATCCTAAGTCTTTAGAGTTTGAACCCTTTTCTGCTTCCTGGCTGTGGTATGAGGTCCTAAATATGTCCTGGCTGGCAGATAACTCTTTTTTGGATAAGTGGCATCTTTTTTATAGTAAAAAAATACTTGAGGAGGAGATGATTGCCCCCATCTGTTTTATGTCTTATTGTCTTACTTGGTCTTATTATTTAAACTCCAAAACTCTGCTGGGTTTTAAAATACAGCTGGAAAAGATTATCAGGACATACGGGGAGCTTTTGACAAGCCGCCGGTTTCTTGTCCTCGTTGAGGCCACTAGTATTAGTGGCCCTCGGGTAAATTCAGGTAAATGTCTTTAGGGATCTTCCTTTACAGCAGGGCATAGCAACACCGTGTCCAGGTGCTCAAGCTGCTTTGGCATCAATTGTGGCACACTACAGGGCTCACATCCACTTAGTGAATGTTCTCTTCCTGTGCAGTTGCCGCTGTGCCACTGCCTTTGGTTATTGCTGGAAGGTCTTGGTTTTTTCCATCAGGATATTGAACACTTATTGGGCAGCATGAGCTTTGCATGGTTTAGCCTATGGGGTTACTAAATGAGTTTTACCATGTTCTCTGGTGAACAACAATTGCCATGATCAGAAACATAGTGTGTGTCATACTTCATCTGAAAGGAAATCTTGCATTGTTGTTTTCCTCTTGTGGTTATTCTGGGTACTCTCTCTCACTGGCTTTTGGGATGGCTGTGACCTTGCCCACCATCCTTCGGCTGTCTTATGCATTATTTTACTTCTGGAAGCCTTAGTCTGGTGCCTTTTGGCTTTCATTTTTCATAAATGCAGGCCTTCTGTACCAAGGAACCCCATGTGAATTACGCTGGGGAGATACCGAGGGATCCTTCCAGAAATCAATCATTGAATGTAATTAAACTAGCTTCCTCAGCGGGACCCTCAGTAGCTCCTTGTCTCTGCCTTATTCTCTTCTTCCTCGTGGGTTGGAGAGGTTCGTTTGAGCAGCTTAAAACTGAGGAAGCATGCTGGTAGATACCCTAGGTGACCTTTGCTGCTGCCTGGTAGTGGTTAGGTGTAACACAGTTGGGCATTTAACAATTGTTTGCTTCATTTCCTTTGGGTACCTAATTTTCTTGAAGCATTTGTTTGTTGTGTTGCACTTATGATTTCAGATAAGTTTTTTCTTGGTTGTGGGTTCATCACTGATCTTCATGCTCCCCCTCACCTCAGAGAGTGTCTCATTCTGGTCTTGTCTGCTGGTAGGCTTATGTGGGTCTAAGGGGACTGGTGCATTTCCTCAGGACATGGATGGACCCAGCTTTTAACTCAAGGAGTTACTAAGGAACCCCACCAGAAAGGGGCATTTCATTACATTAAACACTTGAATTTTGTGTATGCAAAAATTCCCCATGTAATGTAGTAAAGACCTGGATTACAGATGATAATTTAGCAGTTAAATTTAATATAAAATCGAACTTTACCAAGTGAAGTATAACAGTAGAATATATTTTTATAAATAGTTTTTGGTAAAAAATCATTTCATTGTTAAGTGAGGGCACACTACATACTCAAAATTAGAAAAATATCAGTAGTGAATTAAGTTAAAAAAATATCCAACTATTGTTTGTCATAATACCTCACAGCAAAATAATTATTTATTCAATGTAAATTTTCTACATTGACTGTTTTTAATTGTCTTTTATACAACTACTGTACTGTATAATGATAATATTTTTTAGAATGGAAAACTACCACAATATTAAAGAATTCAATATCATGTGACATGAAGATGAACAAAATTTATTAGACATATTTCTGAGCAAAGGCTTCCTAAGATGCTCCAAAAGCCAGAACCAATATGGTCGACCTGGGACTCGTTAGAATCTTGTTGACATTGTCCCCAACCTTGACAGTGATCTTTACAAATTACAGTATCTTGGGAAAATTGGGAAAGGTCGGCAGTCAGTAATTCTAACTCATCCTACCACCAAGGAACCAACTCAATGTAGTACAAAAGAATGAATGTTGCCATCAACATTCCTTACAAGCAATATTCATAAAACACAAGGAATGTCAATTATCTCGCTGCTAACTACTAGTTAAGAAGCAAAGTTACCAATGCCACCACTAGGTGGCAACACCTGTTATCATGTAGTGTTAGAGGCGCCAACCGGCGCCAACTACTACTTGAAGCCTTGGTTTCTGAACCTGGTCTTGGGTTGGCAACTTAATTTCATTCCTGGTTCTTAATCTCTACCAGACTCTTCAAGGTCTTGAATTCACATGGGTCCCCAAGGCCTCTGATTTTTTACATAAGGAATTCTTAGGGCTGATTTATTGCTATTTGTATATATATGGCAGGTGATGGTGGATTTCCTTGCTAGTCATTAATTTGAGGTGGAATTGGCACTGCTACAGGGCTTTTGTGCTCTGCCTGTCATTATTCCCTCTGTGGTAATGCTAATGTCTTTTTTTTACATTTTGGTTTCTCAAGCACCATCTCACTTCCAACTCTATACTAGAGTTTCATACTGGTCTACTCTTCTAGAGTCATTATTGCTAGTTGGGTTTGTGCTTGATCTCTCTTCGACTGCTTTTGTTAAGTTAGAACGTGCTTTCTTTCCACCTATGTCCCTCCCATGATCTTTTAAGAGCTTTCTTGGTCTTCAGACATTGTTCTAGATTTTTTGCCCTCCTGTTAGTTTTAGGTTTACCCTTTTTTTGGAGACTGTAACACTAAAGGCTTTGTTCATTCTTATGGAGGACTGATAATCAAGTCAGTGAGTTACACATGCTCATTCATCATTCAGAGGGATTGTTGTTCTGTTGTGGGACACATTTGTGTGACTACAACCACCTTCATCATTATTGGCCAAGAATGAGTAGCCTGCTTTTTATTGTAGTTGTCCTCTCTTTGCATTTTGGTTCATCCACTCCAATGTTTATCATAATCTCTGTGATAGTGTTGAACCATTATTTCCAGGCATCCTGTACCTCTTGCTCTGCTGGTCTTTTTAAAATCTCTGCACATTAGCCTCATATTCCAGAGTCTGCCTTTCCTGGCTTCTTCATAACCATCAAAAGTTTGCTATGTTCACGGTTTTCATCTCTCCAATACCCTGCTCTAACATTAAGGCCTGTGGGTTCTGGGGGTCAAACAGTTGGTTTGTATCTCATTGTCTCCCTTATGTGCCTCACCCTCAGTGTCTTTGTGTAGCTCTTGGTAGATTACTGTATCCTCCATTTGATGCTGGTAAATAGCTGGGTACCAGTGGCCTCCACTCTTCATGTCTTCAGCTCCATTTTCTTGTTACTATAGTTTTAGTAGCTTTGTTCAATATGGTTAGTTGGCTAAAGGGATGTCCAAGGGGTTGTCAACACCGTCAGCATTGTTATGGTAACGAGTGCTGTACCTGGGTGTTAACAGGATTAACCGTTTCTTATCAAGTATTGTACTGGTAATTAACAAAGTGATAACTGGCATTCCTAGAGTTTTCTGATTATTGCTTGCAGACTTGTTGAGAGTATTGCTCACTCATTTGTATTACAGAGAGCTGGTATTTTGGTACTCACTTGAGTTACACTTGCTACTGTCTTCCTTCTCTGGTTATGAAGGAATATGGTTGACGAGAAGAGATGGGATGATTAGAGTTCTGGTTAGACCATATGAACTTTGGCTGGGGAAGCATCCAAGGGACCTACTCAGAAAGGAGTGCTTTACTGTGCTTAACACCATAATTTTGTTTAGATATGTGGTCTTTTTTCAGGGTTTATAAATGAGCTCACCAGCTCAAGAAATATTATTGAATAGAAAAGAATAAAATTCAGATTTTACAAATAAAACATTAAAAATATTCAAAGGAACAACTGAGTTCTATTAGCTTATTGAACACTACCTCAAATATGTGAAAGTTACAAAATTTAAAAATAATATATTAATATTTGGTAACAAGACACAACCAAAAATGCTGCTATATATTGCATGCTTATTATAAATCTCACGTTACGTACATTACTAAGTTGTCTAAGCTCTTGGAATGACAAACTCTGGATACTAATCCAAAGCACATACAGTATTTACTGAAAATTTTGGCACACTTCGTTATGTAACATGTGCTGAGATATATTATCAGCTCTTTCAATAGTGATTTACATGCAATAAATTTACATTAAAAGAAGCAGGCTGAGGGATAACTAGTCATTGCCCATATACTTTCGACCATCTCGGGTTTTGAATGGTGTGTGGCATGCAGAAAAGATAACTTGTATTAAGCTAACTCCTCACATTAATACCACTCTCACATTCACAACTGAAGGCAAATTAAAGAAATAAATATCCTCATCATGGGTCCCAAAAACATTTACACTTTATGGTATTTTTGGCTTCATCTGTAACTTTCTGGATCCTATAGTGATGCATGCACTCAGTTCAAACACTATCCTCATGTGCCAAAGATGGCAGAGGATGATGAACAGAGATTCAGCTTAACACTTAATAAATATCTAGACTCTCGATAGTGTGGATAAACTGCTTGAAATCCTTAAGTCATGTTTTCAGTTCAGGATTTGTTTTCAACTTAAATCCAATGTTTATTTGGTCATCCTTCTCATCCACATAGTTCTAGCTGCACCAGTATATATACAAACATATCTTTTAAAATTTCCTATTGAACTTCAGCTTTTTCTTAACTTCAAAGTACTTAAATAAATTACTGTATCTCCATCCTAAATGCTGCTTTGATATAAGTATTTCTAGTCTTCCGTCGCCAATTAATATATTTATTAAATGTGAAGAACAACCTTGTCAATTATCTTATACATTTAATTGAATATCACAATCAAACTGAAATTCTATTACACATTAAATTCATTCTCACACCATTTTCTTTTCTTGTAACCACTCGTAATTGATATAGCTACAGTACTACAGTATTGACGAGAACAGTGCATAGTTCTTCAGCGGTGCCTCATGTACTTAATTCAATTAACTTGACTCTCTGCTCATACTCAAACTAGTCAGTTCCTCGACTGCTATCTTCATCTTCTGTAGTGAGACATGGCCAGGTCAGTGATACTGTATATGACACACTTTCACATTTCCTATATAATATTATAGCAGAGTGGATGTAATGATGACAGCTTTTCCATTGTTACAGATACTGAAGCATTGGTTCAGAAGATGAATTTACAAATTTGATAGTTTTTTCAAAATCACTCAATTTAAGATATCAAGATTGCTGCTAAAAGATACATAAGAGCTGACAGTATTTTACTATGATGCAAATATGTACAAAAACAAAGATACAGTACAAAGAAAGAGTTTATAAAAGATAAGATTGTAATACTGTATGCTTTGTTACAAGATACATGCATTTCACTCAATTCAATACTGCAGTTCTAAAATTAACCCTGCAAATGTTTTGGTGTTGAACAATAATACAGTGCTGCACAGCACTGGCCATACCTGCAGAGGTGAGTCCTCATCTCAGGATTCAGCTGACCGAGCCTTTCGTCCAGTGATGGACCCGAACACCGAACGCAGTGTGGCTGAAATGCTTCGAGGTGTGCCTACTCCTCGTCCACGACTTACACCAGGATGTGCATCCAAACACTTCTGGTATCTCAGCTGTCCAGAAAAATTGAAGTTATCCAATAATTAATCAACTCTAAATTTAAAGATACAACTTTAAAGTTATTTCGGTTTGCCTTGTGTGAGCATTAAGCAAAGTACAGTGTGATAAGTTAAAACAAAATTAGAACCCATAGTTAAATTTTTTGTGGCTGCTTCCAACATCACATTCTTTAATACCAAATACTGAATCAAATCAATCAAGGTACAGTCAGCCTACATTTTGTATAGTATTAGATTACACTGTTTTTTGAGACAGTGTGGTTATTCACTTTATCCTAAATTTAGATTGCACTGGTGAATTTTTTTTTAGACATGCAGAACTGAATGTGGATTATCAGATGTTCCATGGGTCTGTCTAATTGTTAGCCGTTTGATGGGCACCCCATACAGAATGGAAAAAAACATAAGTTTTTAGAGGTATGTATCTGGAACATACCCCAGTTTTACATATATACCTTAGTTTGATTTATACTGATTGGGTTTGACATAGGTTTTCTGGTAACAATCCCCATGCAAATCGAGGGCTGCCTGTAATGGTATGATGTTGTGAAATGGCAGATCACAAGACTACTGTTAGGTTTTGAACATTTAAAAACAATAAGAACCATAAAGAATATATATATAGTTCATAAGAAAATTGGTCTCAAAGTTTTGTTTTCAGATTAGTAGAAAAGCTGTAACTTGAAAGTTGTTGATTTAAGTTAACATCAAAATGTTATGAAAGTATAATGCCTTAAGACTAACCTTGCAGGCTGCTTCAATTGTCTTACAGAGGGCTCCTGTGGAAGGCTCACAGTGGAACACATGTGCAATAAACTGGTCTTGGGCTGTGTGCATGATAAAGGCGCAGTGCTTCACATCCTGGCCAATCCCTAAGAATGACAGGAAACGAACTCTGCACTCTGCTATTTGTTTCCCATCGTCCTGTCAAGACATAAGATTTGTGTATAGTACTTAATCAAAAATGCAAAGTGATATGAATTTATGAATTGTCTGAATACTGAAACTGATGAAATTAAATGCTCCTTTTTGAGGAGTCCTAGGTTGCACCCCTAGCAAGGCCTTAGGTCCACTCAGAACACTGCCCAAACTTAGGCTCTAGTTAACATTTAGCTCAATAGTGACAAGGAATTTTCATAATAGTCTTACCACATCGTTTAAGGTTGGAGACAATGTACAGCTTTTTAATATACAGTACAAAGACACTGCTCACTAAGAAACAAAAACAAAAAAAAGTAATCAGCTACCAGCAGTCAATGGGATTGAAAAGATAGCCAGAGTATCACTGTCATGGGAAAGGATAATCCCTGAAGCATGGAAGTTAAGCTAAGCATCCCCCCATGCTGAATCCAAAGGAAGCAGCTGAGTTCTGAGATGAAGGCACATGGAGTGCACTCATTGAACAATAAGGATGACAGGGATACAAGACTAATATAAACATGTGACATTTATATTCTCAAGTAAAAAAAAAAATTGGCTGAGGGCCACTACAGTACCATACAACAGAAAGTATATATTATCAAAGCCCAGAACTGAGGCAGAGACCAGAGACAAAGTCCCAGAGGCATCCAAAATTATAGTGAACCAACTCAGGAGCTGAAGCACACTGAAGGATATACCAAACTGCCACAGGGAAGATAACCCTGGAACCAACTTAATGTGGACAGCTGTAGCTAAAAGCCTGCAAATGACTGGGCACCACTGCCTTCACATAAAAAAAAAAAGTCTTGAGAATAACCAGTTAACAGAACTGGTCTCTGTAAAGATAGGTTCGGAACAGGGAAACACCAGGTGAAAAATAAGGGGTTGTCAGCTATTCCAACTCTGTTGTGTTACCTATTGGCAGTCAGTATAGCGATTAATTGTTAATCAGTAGTTAGCAGAGCCATAACTGTCTATCCTTCAGATAGCCACGATTGCTTGTAGTGTGCATTGAGGGTTTTGGAGGTCCCAATCTGGAGCCTAACCAGGGCTTTAACAGTAGACCCGACTAGTGTGTGCATTGAGGTTTTGGAGGTCCCAATCTGGAGCCTAACCAGGGCTTTAACAGTAGACCCGACTAGTGTGTGCATTGAGGTTTTGGAGGTCCCAATCTGGAGCCTAACCAGGGCTTTAACAGTAGACCCGACTAGTGTGTGCATTGAGGTTTTGGAGGTCCCAATCTGGAGCCTAACCAGGGCTTTAACAGTAGACCCGACTAGTGTGTGCATTGAGGTTTTGGAGGTCCCAATCTGGAGCCTAACCAGGGCTTTAACAGTAGACCTGACTAGTGTGCATTGAGAGATTTTTAACTGTTCTCTTGCCTCACTGCAAGAGGTCTCTTGGTGGACCTCTTTGCAGTGAGGTCCAGAAGGACTCTTCACGGTCTTCCCACCCCCTAAACTCTGTAGCAATATTATTTGCAAAGTTCCATGTCTTGATCGGGCTAAGAGTCAAACAGACCTGGGCATGTGGGCAGTGCCATGGGTAGACCCAGTCCCTGGATGTGAGCACCATTTAGGGGGGACTCTGCTCAGAAATTCTGTTATTTTTAACGTAGATTATGGTTTAATTAATGAAGAGCTCTTTCATATATTTACTTTAATTTTGTTTCTGATTTTTTTTTTTGGGTAAACTGTTGAAGATCAATAACTCACTGTGTTTGTGATGGTCACTGTGGAAGGAGCAACGGCCACAGACACATTCTTCCAAGGTTTGGGGTTGGCTTCTATCACTCTCTCAATAGCACTGTTAAGTACATCCATTCCCGAGGGTCTTTCCACTTGTAGCACACCCACGTACTGCACACGCATAACTTTCTTGGGTTCCTCCATGGGCGTTGGGAATGATTGAGCTGGAAAATTAAACAGGATGAATGTAATTTGTGATGAGATTTCTAAAAGAAAGTAAAACGCTGTTTATAAACATGGAAGTTTTTCCAGGAATATACATATACTGTATCTGTAGTACATTACTTACTTGTAATAATTTGTGAGTGCCGATGGAGTCGGCGATGTTCAGTGGGAAGGTTGGTAGGTCGAGTGAGTCTTCCGGTTCCTCCGCTACCAGGTGAATCTAGCAGGATATTGGTTCATTAAAAATATATGGTAGCAACAAAATTATTTACAACAACCTGTTTTGCACTGAATACTTGGTATTTTCTGACAATTATATACTAAAGTTATCTTGATTATGCTAAACACTATGGAAACTAAGGGGGGATAGTTTTCAGACAAAACAATTATTATTTTAAATAAATGGAAGGTAAGGTAATTGAGAGAAGAAAGTGCTAAGCCAATATGACTATATAGGACTTGGAAGGAATAAAAGGACAAGGAGCTGGGCTGTCACATGGAAAAATCAATGTTAGTGTGTGTTGTTAGGTCACCTAATATTCGTGGGAGATGTACTTACTTGTATCAAGGGGTTTATTCATATTCTGCTGAAGAGAACGTTCAATCATAATCTTCTTGCATATGTCTCGTAGTGTGTTTGCAATGGTGCGTGCAGGAGTGTCACAACGAAAAACATGGCACATGTGCTTCCTCGACACACGATCTCGGGCAACATAGGCAAAATCTCTGTTGAAAGAAGGTCAAATCCCCATTATACGTAATCCATAATATGGGATGTTTGGATAATTGTCTTCAGAAAACTTTTAAATTCAAAGTATCTAAAATAAGATATTTTATATGCTATATGTTCATTACCTAAATAGTATCCAATATGTTACGACCAATATATATACATATGATGTTGTAATAAAACTTATTTAAGAAAAATAGCTATTTTCATACAATTAAATAATAGTACTCAGTTTTGTGATGCTTTTTCAAACCAGTAGAGACAAAGCATGATGATAGAACATTCATTAATACATTCTGAAGATGTTGTTATTGCTGAAATTTCAATTTCCTGAAATTGCATCACTTCGTGCAAAAGTTACAAAAAAAAAAAAAAAAAAAAAAAAAATCTTAAACTATGTTAAAGTATCAGAGCATTTCATGTGCAACGTCAGTCTATGCACATGAGAAAAACTAAATGGAATAACAGTAAGTTATGAAAATGTCACAAGAAGAATATTTGCTATACATATGCATACAGTATACAGTATATATATATTATAATATATAATATATATTATACACTGTACTTCTTAATCATTGCACATGGCAATGAACATCATGCACTGCTGAAACCATGCTCGGTCAGAGGAGTTTAAAACTTTTACCTCTCCCTGTGATACACGTGAGCCACGCAGCAGTGAAGAGGGAGAAAAATAAAATGACATAAGTCCTTTAGAGATTCAAGACTTGACCTACAGTTAATGTATAAAACACAAAAGTATGTTTTGAGATTTTCACTCAACTTTGGAAACATGTATATACTATATTTGCTGGTGTATAAAGCACACTTCTGAATATGATGCACCCCTATTTTGTAAGGATATTTAGTAGAAAACACAATTTTAGTATGTTTCATCATGTTGACAAGATATCTCACAGCTCTGATTACGCTGCATCTAATATTCTCACATGGGAATATTACATGCAGCGTAATCTTTGGGTAACTTCTGTTTTGAAAAATATGTATCCTAACTGCCAGCAAATTTAGTACAGTATATTGTAAAATATGTACATAATCTAATGCACTGGCAATATATATAATTTAATTTTCAAATGAGAAGAGAGGAAGCATACATTTCATGCCTTGAAAGTAGATCAAGAGCACATTGATGAATGTACAGTACTGTACTGGATTTAGCAATGTGAAATGCAAATAATTTGTAGAAACTGTAAACTCACTTATTTAAATCTAATCTAATTCTAGGACTATTGTGTTTTCAGTATTTAGTACAGTACCATATTTATAATCTGGTAACAAAATATTATTTTCTTTTCTCGCACAACACAAAGACTTAAAACTGCTGCTTTTTAAATATTATAACATATTTGTCATTAAAAAACTGTAATGACAAAATGAACTTTTTGTCATTAAAAGAAACTGGAAGCGGATTCTTACCTGCCGTTGTCGCGTCCAACACCCCAGACACGGATAGTGTGGATGGGCTGCGTGTTAAGTACTGTCAGATTCTCAGGATCAACCAGCTTTAGAGAACCCTCATCCAAATCCATAAACAAATCCTTTCCCTGTTGAATGATTAGGATTGATTAAAAGCATGTCCATATAAGCTTCATTATCTTTTCATGAGCTGATGTTTTACATAATCATACACTTATTGAAACATTCAAATATGAAAACATTCTTCATTGCGAGTGTTTTTCATAACATTTGGAACTCAGGAATAAAATGTTATCAATAATAATAATAATAATAAATTATTTTTTCTTCAAAATGCATGAGTACATAGAATCAGTTCAGCTGATGTACTTTATTTTCAATATATCCATATATGTCTGATTTTTTTGTAGTACTGCATCCTGCTCTTTTTCATATAAAATACTATATACAAGAAAATACCTCATAAGGGGAAGCTCTACATTAAACCAAAATTCATGAAAGGTTCATAGAAACAAAAAGTCAAATACTGTAACACAAAACTTACATCACCCCAGCATCCAACCACATCCAAAACATCACGCCTCCCAACAGATAGATCAACTATGCATCGATTGACAGCCTTGGAAGATCGCTCTGGAGTAAGGTCTTCTTCAGCAATTTCCACCCAACCAAGAGAACGGACTGCAAATCGAATGGGACGTCCACCACTGCCCTCTGTTACGTCGCTACGAGCAGGGTAACTGCGTCGCCTACAAAACAATAAAAATAGTTATTGTACTGTACTTTGTCTAGCAACTGGAGAACATATTAACCTTACTGAAATTACGATAAAGATTTCATGTTAATTATAATATTTTTACACAAAATTAATATTGTATGACATGTGCCATGAAGGACAAAGTTCATTAAAATAGTTTATGTTAATGCCTTTATCTATAGAACAAATTATAATTGCAATCAACTGGGAGAAAAATAGAACATTGAGCAACATAAGGAGGAAACCTTTATCAAGAAATATGATACATAAACATTCATTCATTTTCAATTCATGATGAGAAAGTGGCTAGAGACTGTAATAACACTACAAATTTATTGACTTTACTCACTTCAGTATCAGCATTTATTAATGAAGCATATCTGTGTTGTCTGTATCTTTACTCTAAAATACTCTACTGACACATCCACACCCTGACAATACAGTTACTGATTTAACGTGCTGAAGTGCCTATATTGATAATTCCCATTGATAGGAGCAGGATGCCTGTACAAAGACATCGAGGTCCCTTTAGGTCAACCACTGACCTTCCCCAGGATGCAACCCACAAGAATTGCTTAACTCCTGGATACCTATTACCTGTTTGGTGAAAAGAAATGTGCCCAAACATTTCTGTCCCACCTGGGGACTGAGCCTGGGATCCTAGGTTTCAAGTCAAGAGCATAGGCCACTGTACTGTGTTTCTCATCCCTCCTCTGTTTTCCCACAAATGTAATTCTCCTTCAGAAAATCTATCATTCAACATACATTGTACACTGTACCATCCATTACTAATTTAATTCCAACAAACTCCATTACACCCACTTGTAGGCATTATCCACAGCAGCAGTCCTTGGACGAGAGTCTGAAAGTTCGGACAATGCAGAGGAGGTGTTGCTACGTGTCACAGTTCCTGCCACGCCGCCACTTGTCTGAGGAACCAGGCAGATGTGTTAATGATAGTCTTGAAAGGTTTTTGCCATTTACAACAGCTTTCCATTTGATATGTCAGAAGGTAGAAAATTGTGACACTTTTTAAATTGATGACACTGTATTTAGTGTATGCTGCTTTGTGTTATTTGGGTAAACTCCTGCACAGTCAGGCTGGATGATAGTGCACCAGCACCACATATAGCAATTAAAATAGGTTATAAATGATGCTAGGGAGTCATGGAATAATACTTAACCCAATCGCAAACCTTACAAAGCCCCACAATGTTACAAATCCCCACAAAGGGTTACCACCAAAGGGAGGCTCTGAATAACTACCAACTACCTTAATGTACATTTTCTTTACCTGCTACTAGACAGCAGCACTTACCCCAGTGCCACACACCTGAGCTGCCCCACATACCTAAGGACTGAAAGAGCCACCTCTGAGTACAGTAAAAGTAGAGCAGGGTAATGAAAGGCTCAAAAAGCTGTTAATTCTAATAATTCAATGTATTACTATAGGGGGGGCTGGGTTTATATACATAGATTATGGTTATAATAGAAACTGGCTATATATATGCAGTAATAAAGTAATATATTTTGAATTATTATAATTAAAAGCTTTTTAACACATTTCTTAACCAGCATATTAAAAAGGGCATTTTGTGAAATTTGTGTAATTACACCCTAAATCAAGGGTCAAATGATTGAATCCTGTGAAAACACCACAACTCCACATAACTGTTTACAGATTGTCGTGATGCAAGTGGCTCACAGAGCAAACCCAATAATAGTCAACTAAGATATGCAGGGATGCCCCCATGACCCATGAACACTAACAGTTTACTAGATGGAAGGTACTCAGAATATTTAATAATAATAATAATAATAATTTTTATTTAGGTAAGGTACATACATAAAGAGATTCAAAGGTCAATTTAAAGGATTTAAAGGTCAATAAAGTGACAAACATGGGTTAACTATATTGAAAAACAGTCCTTGACTTCAAAGTGACACAGCATACAGTCAGCAAGTATGTGAGGCAGGTCAAGTATGCAGAGCTGGAGGTGTAGGAAATGCCGCCACCTAGGGGTAGGCAGCAGAGATGTACAATGAAAGAATTGGCAGTTATCCAGAGCCTCTCCTTGGCTGTCAACCTGTGATGTTGGGAGAATGGCTTTGTAAAGCTTGAGTTCATGAACAGACCCACCTTGTAGGCCATCTTGGCTAGAATCGTTTTTTTCCAATAAATCTCTAACACTACATAGCCTTGCAGAGATGTTGGAAGGAGCTCCTTGCAATGCTAGTGCAGTATTTCATCCTGAACTATATTTTGTATTATTGTGAATTTAGGCCCCTATTTACAATATTAATACTGTAATTAATTTTTGATTCCCCAACATACACTCTTGGTATAATACTAATCTTTCTGCATGTGAGAGTTTTGGGGTGGGAAGACAGTGAAGAGTCCTGTCCTCGTCGAGGCCACTGGAGTTAGTGGCCCTCAGGTAAATGCTTTACCTCATTAAGCATGCATTTTCTAAATTCTTAATGATTTTTAATGATTCTTTTGACTATTGGATATATCCAACTGAATCTACTGCAATCAGTGGCTAACTCAATACCACAGGGGCCTCACAATGAGGCAAAACCATTCTAGGGGGTCTTAGCAATTTGATGCTTTATCATATAGGCCTCATTCACATTGTGAATGAGGCCTATACTTATATAATAAAAAAAGAACACTAAAATGTCCTAATTTACCTGGTCAGTGTCCTTGTTCCTCCTCTCTGCTCTGAGTGGTGCAGAAGTCACTGTATCTGAAGGTTCAGGTGGGGTGCGTGTGATTGTACCACTCTTGATGTGCCAGTAGTATGGCCCATCATTATCTGTAACAAATTGAATGGAAATTATTCTGAAACCTTCCCTTAATATTCTTGTGAATCAAAGGGCATGAACAAATCACTGATGCATCATGAATGAATGAATTTGATGCATCATGTTAGTGTGATCTGTGTGTGAATCAAAGGGCATTTTAACGATGTTAGTATTAATTTTACATACAGTATAATTTCCTATGCAGACTTTAGAAGAAAAAACTTAAAATATTCTTTCCTTTAATTTTCTGAGAATACTATACTGTATACCAAACCAAAAGTTTAACTGCCATTGTGGTGGTCATCCATATAAGGATCAGTTTACTGATGAATGATTTTCATTGTGTAATTAAGTAATAACTTCCAACAAAATCAGAAAATAGTTGACCAATGTTGGACCAAAATACCACACAGTAAATCTAATTCAAGCACAAACCTTCATGCTTCTCCCATCCAGGTGGAAGAGTGTCCTCAATGGGTGGGTCTGTCTTCTCTTCACAATTATTCTGTGCAGGTTGGTGAGTTGGTGTGGAGTTTTGTGATCCAGTCTGTGTTGGTGGTCGCTTCACTGGTAGAGCATATAAATCCTACAGACAAAAAAAAAAGTAATAATAATTTCGAATCTGCATTATAACCCTTGTTAAGCAAATTGACCATTTAGACTGCATTACCTGTTACAATGCAGCAAATGAAAATAATCTACAACTGTATAGTTATTAATAAAACTTAGATACAGGCTACAAAATGTATATGAAGTACTGTACAAGAAAATGAAAAGTAATAATAATTCAAGCACTCCATATAGTAATCTGAATATTGACACAAGATAATGTTGGTAAATTAAAATAAGGTACTGTACTCAAAATGAATAGAAAATAAAAATCCTACATAACCAATTACAGTAGTTCAAAGTTATTTTTGCACCATATTGCCTGAATGCGTATGTGACACCCATTAAATTGCAATAAGAAATGTGTGAGTGCAATTCTCCATGTGTTTAGGAGTCTATGCAAAGTCCTATGGAAATGTATTTATATGCGGTAATGGTTTTATTTAGAGATACATGAGTATGCATTAATGACAACTGTGTTATGCCTACGTAGTAATTATTGGATTAAGTGAATCGTAGATTGGCCTTGGCTCTGTCCAGGTTGAGTAAAGCTTGGCTTTTCTGTCGTGTCGAGGTGGAAGTTCACTATTGGAATTACTGTACTGACTCAGCACAGTAATTCCTGAGCTAAGTGCCACCTATGGATAGCATGACAGATATATGACATGACGGACTGTCACCATATATATATATATATATATATATATATATATATATATATATATATATATATATATATATATATATATGTCGTACCTAGTAGCCAGAACGCACTTCTCAGCCTACTATGCAAGGCCCGATTTGCCTAATAAGTCTAGTTTTCATGAATTAATGTTTTTTCGACTACCTAACCTACCTAACCTAACCTAACCTAACGTTTTCGGCTACCTAACCTAACCTAACCTATAAAGATAGGTTAGGTTAGGTTAGGTAGGGTTGGTTAGGTTCGGTCATATATCTACGTTAATTTTAACTCCAATAAAACAAAATTTCCCTCATACATAATAAAATGGGTAGCTTTATCATTTCATAAGAAAAAAATTAGAGAAAACATATTAATTCAGGAAAACTTGGCTTATTAGGCAAATCGGGCCTTGCATAGTAGTCCAAAAAGTGCGTTCTGGCTACTAGGTACGACATATATATATATATATATATGTCGTACCTAGTAGTCAGAACGCACTTGTCAGCCTATTATGCAAGGCCAAATTTGCCTAATAAGCCAAGTTTTCCTGAATTAATATATTTTCTCTAATTTTTTTCTTATGAAAAGATAAAGCTACCCGTTTCATTATGTATGAGGTCAATTTTTTTTTATTTTAGTTAAAATTAACGCAGATATATGACCGAACCTAACCAACCCTACCTAACCTAACCTAACCTATCTTTATAGGTTAGGTTAGGTTAGGTAGCCGAAAAAGTTAGGTTAGGTTAGGTTAGGTAGGTTAGGTCGTCGAAAAACAATTAATTCATGAAAACTTGGCTTATTAGGCAAATCGGGCCTTGCATAGTAGGCCAAAAAGTGCGTTCTGGCTACTAGGTACGACATATATTTATATATATATATATATATATATATATATATATATATATATATATATATATATATATATATATATATATATATATATATATATATATATATATATATATATATATATATATATATATATATATATATGTCGTACCTAGTAGCCAGAACTCACTTCTCAGCCTACTATGCAAGGCCAAATTTGCCTAGTAAGCCAAGTTTTCATGAATTAATTGTTTTTCGACTACCTAACCTACCTAACCTAACCTAACCTAACTTTGTCGGCTACCTAACCAAACCTAACCTATAAAGATAGGTTAGGTTAGGTTAGGTAGGGTTGGTTAGGTTCGGTCATATATCTACGTTAATTTTAACTCCAATAAAAAAAAATTGACCTCATACATAATGAAATGGGTAGCTTTATCATTTCATAAGAAAAAAATTAGAAAAAATATATTAATTCAGGAAAACTTGGCTTATTAGGCAAATCGGGCCTTGAATAGTAGGCCAAAAAGTGAGTTCTGGCTACTAGGTACGACATATATATATATATATATATATATATATATATATATATATATATATATATATATATATATATATATATATATATATATATATATATATATATATATATATATATATATATATATATATATATATATATATATATATATATATATATATATATATATATATATATATATATATATATGCCTATGTGGTGTTGCTTGCATGTGGCATGATCCTTTTGTCAGTGTACCTGCATGTGGAATGATCCTCATGTCAGTGTACCTGCGTGTGGCCGGCTGTCATATGCGGGATGTGGGTAGGGGACTGTCGCCCTTGGTGTGAAGAATTGGAAGAGGAAGTGGAGCCTCCGTCAGTCACCACCCCTGAGTCTACACCGGCTTCACCACCTTCGGGAGTTAGCATGCGTTTATCATCGTTCCTGCCGATACAAAGGTGCATTAGCAGGTAGAATGTTAGGAAGCTCGACCCAGCAACTTAGGGCAGATGAAGCTGACACATTAACATGGCTACACAATCCTACACACATGTAATGATATGAAATTGGCATTTTGGTCCGTTCTAGACCTTTATCCAATTAGTAACGTTGAATCAACGTTTAAAGCAACGTCAAACAAACGTTCTCTTGAATTTTTGTGTCCATTATGTGTGGCGTGGGTATTTTACAAGTGTTATTGTGACATTCTCTGTATGTAAATCATGCAATGAAATATTTACTAATCACATGTACAATGGTTGAAAGTCAAAATATATTTGTGTTGAAATATTATTAATTAATATACTCCAAGTTGAGAATATGAACAGAACTATAAGACATTTAAATTTGAATGTATGTGAAGAGGTATATACACATTTAAGAATGAGTATGCTAATGTATATGTATATATATATACGGTAGAAGAATTTTAATGTAAATATACAACAATTTCTCGTTGCAGAATTCCCAACATGCAGACATAAGAAAACCACAATGTATTAACAAATAAATTACAAATTGATAAAACTCCGAAAAAAAAAATAAAAAAAAAAATGTTAAGTGCATACATGAATGAACATTTTTGTACAATTAATTTACAAAATGAATGAAGGTAATATACGTGGCATCACTGTATTGTTTCAAGCGTAGGTCAGACATACATATGAATGTGTATAGGTGGGTATAAATGGAAGTGGCCTTGCGCATGGGACCAATTTAGGCCTTTTGCAGGTTCTGCTATTCACACATTTGTACACGTCGAATACAAAATTAGTACATATGTTACTATTATAATTAGTATGTTATATACACCTCGTCTACAAACAAACAGGCACAAACACGCAAAACATAACATTAAAACAATATATTTATACTGCACAGATATTGGGAACAATCAGATGTTTCCCCCCACTCAAAGCGACTGGGAAGTCAGTCAATAGACTGGGAAGTCAGTCAATACAAAGATGAATACAAACTGGGTAAGTGGTATTCATCCATCACATCGTATCTGACACAATCTTTAAAACAAACGGAATATATGCAGTCATGCACAATGACTATGGTCTTAGCTAAAATTAAGAGCGATGACATCTTACAGTTCAGACGTCACAGAAACGACCCCTTGTAACAAAACACATGCAGACAGCAACATGCAAAGACCTCGCAAACAATAAGAGTGGGGCGTCATAAAGAACCTTTACCCTTTGGTTATATTCAAGATAGGTGGTGCAGTGAGGACAATACAATTTGAGGTTATAGAAGGCTAATGCTAATAGGCAGGCGATGAGTCACAATAACGTGGCTAAAGTATGTTGACCAGACCAGTATGTTGAGAATGGTCCAGGACGGATCGAAACGTCGTCGTCCCTTCAATTTCTAGTGTGTGGTCTGGTCAACACACTTATATTAATAAGCCTGCGCTAGGCTGTAGTATTGGGTCTAGGAGGCAATAATAACTTGTTAAATGGTGCATTTAATCTGTTGGTCATACACCTGAACCACTCACTAGATACGCTATAGTGTAGATTCAACATAGCCTATTGTGCTCAGTCTATATTGACTACCACAATATTTCAAATAACTTATTTGCTTTGAATGGATGTTCAGAAAGTTTTGAAACTTACGGATCAAGGACTGTGCATGTACAGGGTGTTCGAACATGGGCATTCACTTGTCCATTGGGTTGTGAAACTTTCCGAACAACAGTTTTGAAACAGAAAAGAACAAGTGATAATTGTTGTAGTGGTTGGTGGTTGAGGAGGAGGGGGCGGGGCTTCGAACAAGGGGCCAGATTCACGAAAGCACTTACGCAAGCACTTACGAACCTGTACATCTTTTCTCAATCTTTGGCGGCTTTGTTTCCAATTATCAAACAGTTAATGAGCTCCGAAGCACCAGGAGGCTGTTTATAACAATAACAACAGTTGAATGGGAACTTTTCATGCTTGTAAACTGTTTAATAAATGTAACCAAAGCCGTCAAAGATTGAGGAAAGATGTACACGTTCGTTAGTGTTTACGTAAGTGCTTTCGTGAATCTGGCCCAAGGGCGCCATCATCGTGGTTGGACAAAATCTGGTTGAAGTGGAGGAGGGAAGGGGCAAGCAAGGACTTACTCGGCGTCATCTTGGTTGTTGGACACAATCTGGTTGTTGGGAAGGTGGTGTTGGAGACTGGTCGTGTGGGCGACGTGCTCAATAAGGTCGGGCTGGTTAATGGAGTAGCTGAGACCCTGCTTCCGACCCATTATGCTTTCATTGTCCAGCAGGCTGTCGATGGGGAAGGTCAGAGAGGTCACTCGTCAATCAAAGCGAAGAATAGGCAGCTATCAAGAAGCTAGATTAGTTTGTTATATAGCCAGACAGTAAGCTTAAAAGTACCCCCAGTTAGTAGAGAAACAGAGAATAACTAGCATGTTATTGCAAAATAAAAAAAAGAACTAACAACAGTAATCAGCATAAATTTCCCGAAATACTGTGCAGAATCCTAAGTAGACGCAATATGGACCAGGAATGAGGCTGTAAATAAGAGTATATTAGCACAATCAACATTGCAATAGGCTTGTAAGTTCCTTGCATCTCCAGTCAAATGTTTTTATTTAAGAACAATATAAGAAGCCTACGTTGTATTTTCATTTCGTGTTTAGTGTAATATAATTGAAGTTTGCTCAAAAAGAATCTTAAGGCTTATATTTATATTTTGGTCAACGGCTCGATATATATATATGGGCGAATTTCAACAAACGATTTATTATTAATTTAAAAGAGACCACAGTAAAAATAAAGCAACCTTTGTCAAATATTAATTAAAAAGACACACAACAACATGAAATAAACCCTAACAGCGACGCTCCAGGCATTCAATTCGAAACAATGGCGACCAAGAGGCGCTAAATTGCGCCGGAAGCCAAGTCTCAGCTGGTCCCACAAGTTATGGCCGAGGTTTGCAGCTTTACAGTGGAAGATAACTTATTAAAATCACTCCCATTGCCGGAGCAACGCGACAAGGAGGCGCTGCACTATCTTGGGATAATATCATTCCACTGCAAGAATATGCATTCCACTTTTACAGTTTGGCGAAGACCAAGCTGAAAGCCTCCTCGCCGCGGGTCGTCTATGAATCTCTTCCAGGAAAGGCAGAGACACAGAAATATTGTACATAACTACACTGATTACTTGTTATGACGTTCTCTTAGGTAAATCATATACTGTAATATTCGAAATGCACGAACATTTATTAATAGTTTCTAAATTTGAATTTTAAATTAAATCTAACGTTCCTCAGTGAGCCCAACGTCGTGGCCGACCAGAAGACAATTATTACAAAAAGACTAACCTGTCCTCAGAGAGGAGATCCGCTCAAGGGAATAGACTGGCTACGACTACATAATTAGTGCTATTATCTACTTTCTATCCGTGGTTAGAGTAGGTTAAGGATTGGTTAGTTTTCATTACGTTTGGTTACGTTAATACGATGTATTATTGACGATAATGTGAAATATGGAATTTAAATCTTTTTAAGTGTGCCCAAGAATTCAGTTTACAGAAAACTGAAACTCTTCAGAGAAAACATTTTCAGCATATACTTTTTATATTTTTTAACCAACAATTTATGATACATTAAAGTTATAATATGATAATAATATCCGTTTAGGACAAAGGCTCATTTGCCAGTTTACAAACAGACTATTACTGGAACAGTAATGTGCTTTCCCGATCATCGCAAAAATGTAGATAACTATTCAGGTGGTTTGAAAGGAGGTGTAGTTTCTCATAGTAATGGATTTGGTATGAGCACGGGCTTAAAAAGATACACTGGCTGTTACCATTTATCAGAAATATCACTACACCAACGATCATTCATATTCATGATCTATCACATATTTGGAACAGGTTCTCACAAGAATATATGGAGAAATTAAAGTCAACTGGTCATGCGAAAGTTCTGGTCCACAAACTTTTACAGTTTCACCCTGTATGTTTACCTTGTAGCCTAACCTTAAATATAGACCAATAAAATCACTCATAAGAGATCAGCTTCTAGAGCAAAATGAGACGATATTATGTGATAAATAACATTTAGGTGTAGTATTCACATGATAGGAACTTTAATCCTACAGAAAGATATATTTATTATTCAGAACATCAACAGATAATTACACATTTTGAATGTCATGTTGAAGAATGTTATAGAGAATAAGGGGGTGGGGGACGACGAGGCAGTGGTGGGGGAGACGAGACAGAGGTGGTGGGGGACGACGAGGCAGTGGTGGTGGGGGAGACGAGGCAGGAGTGGAGGGGGAAGACGAGGCAGGGGTGGTGGGGAAGACGAGGCAGGGGTGGTGGGGAAGACGAGACAGTGGTGGGGGAGACGAGGCAGGGGTGGTGGGGGACGACGAGGCAGTGGTGGTGGGGGAGACGAGGCAGGGGTGGTGGGGGAGACGAGGCAGGGGTGGTGGGGGGAGACGAGGCAGGGGTGGTGGGGGAGACGAGGCAGGGGTGGTGGGGGAAGACGAGACAGTGGTGGTGGGGGAAAGATGAGACAGTGGTGGGGGAGACGAGACAGGGGTGGTGGGAAGACGAGGCAGGGGTGGTGGGGAAGACGAGGCAGGGGTGGTGGGGAAGACGAGACAGGAGTGGTGGGGGAAGACGAGGCAGGGGTGGTGGGGGAAGACGAGACAGTGGTGGTGGGGGAAAGATGAGACAGTGGTGGGGGAGACGAGACAGGGGTGGTGGGAAGACGAGGCAGGGGTGGTGGGGAAGACGAGGCAGGGGTGGTGGGGAAGACGAGACAGGGGTGGTGGGGAAGACGAGGCAGGAGTGGTGGGGGAAGACGAGGCAGAGGTGGTGGGGAAGACGAGACAGGAGTGGTGGGGAAGACGAGGCAGGGGTGGTGGGGGAAGACGAGGCAGGGGTGGGGGAGGATGGAAGAAGGTTATAACAGTGATCAATACAGGCAACAGGAAGTCCAGTATCATACAACAGTAAGCTTACACCCATTCCCTGCCTCTGTCACCCCCACCTACTACCATTCCTCTCCCCATTTCCACACACAAATGCAAATACTGCCATAAGTACAGAGAAATAAACGTAAATGTACACATATTTAGCTTAAAAAGTATAGCATCATACTAGAGTCAACCTTCACCGGAGTCATTAGTCCTGGAACACAAATATCGGGACCTAAATTATAATTTGACAAGGAAAATAAAAAAAACTAATTGTTATGGTATTTAAAACACGGTAAGTCGATTAAACGAACCAATCAACGAGCGCGTTGCCTTGACAGCGCTGGCTGACGTATAACAACAGCGCTGCCGGACGTACAGCTAACTTTATTGTTCACGGATCCGCAATTGTCTATTTTTCAACGTAACTGGCAATTGTGACATTCGATATGGTTTACAATCGAGTAATGAGGTTTCATATAAAACCATAGCTTGACATTGCTATGTAAAAAATGACTTGAAATCAGTTAAAAATCCATTATATGAGAAGAACAACGCATGCTCTCTGGCGTAATGAAGCCTATCATTGGACCAGAGGCATGAGGAACTCTATACGAAAAAAGGCTTCAGAAGGTATGCAAAAAATGCACCAGGGTAGAGAACGCGGATGGCAGGCTACCAGAAGCAGCACCAAAATACAATAATTCAGCAGTTAATAATACATTTCAATAATACAGCTTCCGAAAATCTTGGAAAATCTTCTCTTGGCATCTTCCGAAAATCTGGAAATGTAGTTCTTGTTTTCAAGAAAGAGGAGAGGAGACAGACAGGAAAAACTGACATGAATTCCTTGCACAATATTAGAAGATTAATATAAACGCTAAAAAAAAATGAAAGATAAAATAAACAGGAGAAACATGATCACCACATATAAAATACTCAATGGAATTAACAGGGAAGAAAAGGACCGCAGTTACAGTTACACAGCTGAATCATATCACAAGTACGTGATACATCTATGAGGCCGTAGAGATAAACTCCCACTAACCTTCACCAATATCTGAACATACGCCATAGCTTCACCTCTCATCCAATTTTGCTAGAGGGAAGAACCTATTTCCCTACCTCACCCGGCTACAGGAAATTACCAATTACAAATGCGAGGGCCTCGCCAAATTGAGCAGTAGCATAGGGGACACGCGTGGATGAGAGGGAATATAACAGGTGTTTGGATGATACCTGGTTGCTACCTGGTTGATGGGGTTCTGGGAGTTCTTCTACTCCCCAAACCCGGCCTGCTTCAAAAGTTCAGAGATTAACTATGGAGAAGTCTACGGGAGTTAAGTCTCACATTTCAATACCTCCTTGTTGTATCTCGTCTTATTTCCCTCCATTCAGTCGTATCTTTCATTCCAAATCCTTATCCCGGCCTCTTCCAAGGGCTGTATAGTCGTAATGGCTTGGCGCTTTACCCTGATAATTCCCTCCCTCCCTCAATCACATCTACTTTTTTAATCCATTATAATTATTATTATTTTATTATTATTTCATCTTGAAGCGTTAATGCCACATTTATCTGGCATTCCTCTCTCATTTCCATTTTTTATCAACATTTCCTTCCATTCAGTAGAATCATCACAGCCTCCATCATTGTAGCCACCTTTCCCTCTCTACTGATGGTCTCCATCTACATAAAACCTTCCTTCTCCATCCTTCATGGTCCCCCCCCCCCCCTCGCACAATCATCTGGCACATACCTTATCTTTTAGTTCAGTGGTTTTTGATTACCATATCATGATACCTCCGCATGTATACGAGTACCCGAAACTATATGAAGAGTTACGAGCCTAAATAGAGAACTAGCCTTGTTCTCGAGAACTAGAACAATCCACATCTCTGGCAGGATGGTTGGTCACGCATGACCACCCAATCTGCTAGTTTACACTGGGATACTTTGATTGCATTACAAGCAAGTCTTCAAGCAAAACAAGATTGGACAACAGTAATTTCAAGACTTTAGGTGGCTCCTTCCGCGAAGTTTGAAAGGGTCAAATGACGGGGGTATTCATTCCTGAAGTGTGTGAGTGCTTCGCTTTGATGTCCAAAGGGTTTGGAAAGGTTGGGAGGATGGTAGAGGGATGGGCCAGAATCTTCATTGTCTCTCACTCACACATTCCTCGGGCTTCCTCCAACTAGCTTCCGTAAGTGAGCTACAACTTAACAGAGTGAAAGGGAACTCGGACGATAGTCCCCGGTCTCCCGGAGGTCCTCCTCAAGTCCCAGGTCTCCCGGAGGTCCTCCTCAAGTCCCAGGTCTCCCGGA